GTACTTAAAAAAATGCAAAAGACACATATTGAGTTTAACTATCTTTAATTTTGACATTTTAAACCTTAAATAAAACACAAAAGTTTGCCCAGCTTTTGAATTTGAACAGTAAAACTGCTTTAAATATCTAAAATATAAATAAACAAAAGCAAAACAAGTACCGAGTTGTACTCATAAAATTCACATTATGAAATTAGGACATAAACATGCTGGCAATAAGATATTAGCAGCAGAATTTGTTAGAATATCAAAATTATAAATAATAAACAATGAATGTTACTGTAGAATAAGGTAGAATGCAGAAGAACAGGAAAACTGTCACTTTTCAAAGTTGTTCATATGAACATGTTTCTTATTCACTTTTCCAAAATTTAGAATTGGAATGCAAAAATGTCAGCATGTCCACATGCTCTGGGTTGAGGCTGGCTCTTTTTTTGCAAGCTATGTACCCTGCAGCAGAGAAAAGACGCTCAGATGGCGTTGAGGTGCTTGGGATACACAAGTAGGATTTCGCTAATTTGGCCAAGGTGGGGTATTTATCTTTATTATCTCTCCACCAATCCAAAGGATTTTCTTCCTTGGCTAGTGGCCTCTCAACAAAGTAAGCCAGGACTTCATTTCTTATTTGAGTGTTGAGGTCCTCCTCAGCTTTCTCCTCTCTGCTCTCTTCCTCACTGCTGCCTCCAGACTCAAGGAGTGAATCAAGCAAAGATTTTGAAGGTTTAGCTTCTGTTCTCATGGCTGAGGTGGTTGTTTGCTGCTGCTCCATCTCCTTTCTTGCTGCAAGTGCTTCAGCTTGCACTTTAGCCTGCACAGTTATCATTTGCTCAGGTGACAGAAACTTCAGTCTACTGAACCTTGGGTCCAGAGCAGAGGAGAGAATCACAGGATTATGAACTTGTTCAAAGAGTTTCTTCCATCTGTTTTGAAGCTGCTCAACTGCTGTGGCTTGGAATGACTTGACTGGAGTTGAATCAAAGGCAGCACCTTCAGTAGACTTTATCAGCCCTTTCACAAGTGGAGGCAATGAGGAGACTGTTACATATTCCTGCCCGCTCATAAAAACAGTGGCACATTCAAAAGGCTTAAGAACAGCACTAATATTTAAATATTATTTAAATTAGTTATAGTTTAAATAATAGTAAATATTTTCAATGTTTAATAATTTTGTTATACTGTATATTACTTGTTCAAATTATTATAATTTAATGTTTAATTGTTTTATTGTATTGTATAAATTACATTCAAATTATTTATTTAATAATAATTTATTTTTACAAAAAAAATTTTCTACATTTTTTATATATATATATATTTTTTATTTGTAGTAAATAAAGCATTTTATTTTTTATTTATTAATTATTTTTATTTCAATTTATTTAAATTATTATAATTATTATATTATATATTAAATTATATCATGTTAATTATTATATTATGTTAATTAATATAAAATATTATATTATATTATTATTTTCCATGACTTTTCCAAGTCTAGAAATCATACTTTTAAAATTCCCTCGTTTATGCAGGTTTTGTCATGTTTTGTCATATTTTGAACTATTTTAACATATTTAAAAATGATATATTAAGCCGTGTTGTAAAGTTCTTATGTTCGATTTGTAGATGTTATTTTAAATATGCTTTTTTTTATCGTCAAGTCTCAATATTTCTGTTACTTTCCTCACACATTACAACAATATGTGCTATTTTAGTACAACTGAACTGTTTGTAGTAATTTTAAAGATAATCCATCACAGTGACTTTTGCTTTCTCTTCAAACCATTTAGCGCTTTGAAATTCACAAATAGTCTAACGTGGGCTTATTTCGGAAGCTATTTTGGGTTGTAAAACGCAATCTATTGGCATCTCTTTCTGCAAAAACCATGCAAGTATTTTGACAGCTTTTCCAGAAACAACAAAGATGGGGAGTATAAGAGAAAAATAAATGCTCCGACTCTGTGAGATCCGTGTTTCTTTGTCTTTTTAAAGGTATCAGAGGAATAGCCAGCTCAGTCCTCTCATGCGGCTCAGTCTCTGGGGCAAACAAACAAACCCAGTGTTTCTCTTTTCGGATTTGTGACATCTTAGACATGCCTCAAAAAGAGAAAGAGAAATATCTGCTTGCTCTTAAAAGTACGAGCACACTCAGTTATAATAGCATCTTTAGTTTCAGTGGTTTGAGAGTACTTGTGTTTGATGCACAGCCTCATCAGAGACGGATTGATTTGACAGCAGCCCAAGAGAGCCCTCAGAGGGAATTTAATGGGAAATAAACCTACAGAATTGCCCCGCGGGCAGTGAGCCATTGCCCCGTCCCGGTCCAGCATCCCATCTTGCAGGTGATTGTTTCACTTTTAGTCTGAGATGGTGTCTCAGAAGACATCTTGAGTGGATGTGATGGTGTAGTTGGTCCAGTCGGGCCGCGCTCTCATCTGCATTTAGATGAGTATTGATTGTTTATTTACCCGCTGGAGACAAGAGACCGATCCAATCTTCTGTCCACTCTCTTCTGCACCAGCCGTTCACTCTTTGGCCATTTTCTTTCTCTTTTTTGAGCAATTGTTTTTCCTTTATGTATTAGTTTAGTCTTTTCTAGTCTGAACAAGAAACTAACGTAAACCTTTTTTCTTTTAAATGCTGTGTGAAATTAAATATTTGATGTATATATTTCATATGTGTGTGCAATATTACATTATAAATTACATGTTTGTTTATTGTATTAGTTTTAGACAGTTTTTAATTACAATACTAATAGTTGGGAAAAAAGTTAATAAAATAAATTATAATATAATATATAATGTATGATTAAAATGAAAAAAGTAAATAGATTATATATAATATAATATAAATATAAATTAAAATCTAATTAACCCTTATAAACATTGATTAAACACACACACATACATATACACATATATAAATTATATATTTATTTTAAAAAAAAATCTATTTAAGTATATTAGCCATATATATATATATTCAGAATATAAATGAAAAGTATAATTAATATTAAAATATAATTAAAGCATATTAACAGGGATTAAATGTTAAATTTAAAAAATGCCTATTTATTTATTTACTTATTGTTATTAATTTAATTTTGTTTATTTAATGCTTATTCATTTAGATTTTTTTAAAATAGCATTTAAATGCATGTACTGATATTTAAAAATTAGTCGAATAATTGAAAAAAATTGTATTGCTTTGATTTTCAGTTGAATTGAGCGAATATATAACGGTAGGACGTGTGGACACTAGAAAGCGTGCGCACTGTAAAATATGACTAGTTTTATGAGCGGCTCAGGGTTTGTGAAGCTCGGTGGGTCTGTTGGGGGAGATAAGCGCGATTGAATGCATCCTGTGGGTCTTATCAGGGTAAATGTTGGTGACATTTGAGAGGCGGCGATGGCTGTGGTTTGGGGTCGGTGTGCCTGCGTGTGAACTACAGATGAGCTCAGACCGTGACTGTTATGCTTTATGTGCTTAGGGCGAATGCATTGAGACATTATACAAAGATGAACATTTTCAGCAGTTGCTGTATTTGTGTGGATTTAGTATCAGCCGTTTTATTTAGTACTTGGCTCGATATTTTAATGACACACATGCACAGAAAATGATTGGATTTGTAGCTCCACACGGTACGTCTGGTCTCCGGTTATTAAAGATTCATCATAAAACGGCTCTGAGATCTGATCGCTGAAGTCTTTCATATACACACACACACCTGTGACCGCACATCTTTTTAGTTCTATAAAAATGCATTTATTATATATGATTATTGCTATATACACAACCATTCAGAATTTTGGATCAGTAAGATTTTTTTTTGTTTTGAAGAAATTAATACTTTAGTTCAGCAAAGATGCATTAAATTTATCAAAAGTGGCAGTAAATACATTTATAATGTTACAAAAGATGTCAAATAAATGCAGTAGTCTTCATTAAAGAATTCTAAAAAATTTATCATTACGTCCTTAAACATTTGTTTTTTTCACTAGGAAATATTTTTTGAAAAATCTACAAAGAAGTCTGGAAATTTGAACCTGGAAAACATTTTAAAATGGAAAATGTGTAGAAACCCTGATTATATATTGTAAATAAATAAATAAATGCAGCAATATACACACCCTATTGTCTAAATTAGAAATAAAAATATATTTTGAATTAAGAATAAATAAATAAATAATTATAAATTAATAATACAAATGTAAATAATTTCTAAATATATTTTTAGGGATGTAAAATCATGCTTCATTATTAATATTGTTCATACTTGTGACAAGGGATTCGTAAACTCTAAATATTAAATATGATTTGATATCATGTGTCTTGTCGGTGAGAGGTGTGCTGTGTCAGATGGTGTGTTTCTGAATTAGTCACAGTCTCCTGCTCTTCAGTTTTCAAGTTTTCTCCCGTAGATTCAGAGTGGCGCTCTCTCCTTCTTCCATACACTCGACTAGTCTGATTCCTACACGGCAGGCTCAGAACTGTTGTATAGAATTGATTCACTCGCTGGCTTCATTTGTGTTCTGATGCATCTCGCATTGTGCTGCTGGAGGCTGTCATGAACATATTTCTTTCTCCATAGAGGTCGTAAGCTTTCCGAGGCTCTGGTGACATTTTGGAAAACCGCGGTATTTGCAAAAGGGTAAATATTGCCCTTAGTGTTTGCCCCATTTAGATTGGCAGCTTCTCTCTATTGGTTTTTTCCCTTCTTTTCTGGAGAAAAAACGAGGGAAAGACTTGATCCTGCCTCTGGTCATTTTCCCTGCTTCTGACATTCTTTTGGTTTTATAGCCATCAATTGTTCCTGCAAGGCAGTAGTTATTGAATTATCTTTACAAACCTCTCCAAATGAGAGAGAAAGGTCTGTGAAGACCAGTCTTTAGGTCTTAGATGGGTAGATATCATCTGATTGTACAATAAAAAGTCAAATTAGATTGTTTGCACTGAGCAATATTAATCAAGCGATGTTATAAAGAGAAGCCTAAAGCTGTAAATCCCAGCACATTATCTCGAACAGATTGTTTTTGAACGGCTCTGGTCATCCTGAAGTCATTTATGATGGCTGCTTTCTCTCAATATGAGAGTATTAAACTGTTCAGAGGTTCAAAGTACATACGAGGTCAGTATAGTAGAGATGATTCATGTTATGAGAAAGAAAGAAAAAACAATACTACTGTTGAAAAATCACCAAGGCTGCATTTATTTGATCAAAAATATAGTGAAAACTGTAATATTGTGAAATGAAGTGCTGTTTGAAATTTTCTTCTAAAATGAGCATTTTTGTTTTTTTATCAGGCTCCTATGTGTAGGTTCAGTAATTTAACTTTAATGGCAATGAATAGGTTGTTTTCATTGATATTGAAGTAAAATAACTGACCATAAACATAGGAGCCTGAGAAAAATGCTCATTTTAGATGAAAATTTCAGATGGCACTTAAAGGCTTTTGCATCTGAACTCTTCAAATATTGTTGCAATTTAAAATAATTATCTATTTGAACATATGTTCAAATGTAATTTATTCCTGTGATGCAAAACTGAATTTTCAGCATCATTGTTCCAGTCTTCAGTGTCATGATCCTTCAGAAATCATTCTAATATGCTGATTTGATAAATAAATGCAAATGTAAATCCTTTTTATTCAGGCAGATAGCTGTGAGTTTATTTGATTCAATAAACTCAATAAAAGATTGAAAAGGAGTCAATAAAAGAACTGGTTCAAAAGATTAATTTGTTTGTCGATCAGTCTAGATCGATTGCAGCAAGTACAGTGCAATAGAAAGATATGTTATCTATTTATTGTAATTTTATCTGTATTATTTATATTTTTGTTTGTAACATTAAGATTGTTTTTAGAATCATTTCTCATTAGAATGTCAAAATCTTAGGGGTCATATAGGCATGATTTGTTTAGAGAGTTTGCATAGTTTGATGATTGATAAAATGCATAACAATGAAGTTGTATGTGTGGTTTACTCATGTATCTGCAACAAGTAAATGCTAAGGCTTAATGGCATGAACACATGCTCTTTGAATATTATTATGCTTTTAATGATTTTTGAGCTCGACCAGTGCAGTGGAATGCATTTTGTAGATCATGTGAGCCGAGTGCAAATGCAGTCAAATAAACCAGACTCTTAACAGCTCAAATCAAGCGCTTGTATGATTCGTTTCAGGTCCCATGTATCGTCTGGAGAAGCAAACCGAACCGAATGTGGCGGTGGATTTGGACAGTACGCTGGAGAGCCAGGGAACCATGGAGTTCTGCTTGGTCCGAGAAAACAGTGAGTTTTGATGACATTTCTGATGTTCCTGCCATTGCAACACGCGATCTTTGAACATTTCACATTCATAAACATTTTTACAACATTACAGGAAGAGATTTTCCTTTATTTTGATATATTGATTAACTTTATTGATCACCTTTGTTGTTGCAAAACAGCAGCAACATTAAATGTAAAGTGCACAAATGCACACTGAATGCACACATCCTTTTCTCCACCCCGTCCCGTCTTCATCTGCAGGTTCTCGAGGCGAGGAGAGCTCAGAGGAGGACCCACCTATAGACATCACTACGGTACAGGACATGTTGAGCAGCCACCACTACAAGTCCTTCAAGATCAGCATGATCCACAAGCTCCGCTTCACCACAGACGTGCAGCTAGGTACTGTTTTATAGTTATATAAATAGTAATAATTTATATTATACTATTGGAATACAGAAAAGTATATCATTTATATATTATATATATTTATGTATTTTTGTAATATACATGTATATGTACAATTTTATATATATTATTGTATTATATGGTATAGTTTAGTTTGGCACAAAATACTATACGGAAGTCTAACAATGAGAAATTCCTTGAGAAAGTCTCTCCAGTTCTTGCTTACTTCTCCTGACTTCTCAGTTTCTCCACCTCTCAAAGCGCACGATTCAACTCATGAACAAAGGTTTGGCAGATGGTCCTCAGATCAAACACAGTACTGTTTTGTGAAAACACAAAAAAAATATTCCAGCACACTTGACAGTTGCTCCAGTCACAGCTCCATCCCAATTACAGCAGCGCTCCAGGCGACCACTACAAGTCCTTCAAGATCAGCATGATCCACAAGCTCCGCTTCACCACAGACGTGCAGCTAGGTACTGTTTCCAGATCTCTGTATTTTACATTGATGAAATATCTGGCTCTACTTCTGCCAAAACAGACCAACATTCAGATTCAATACAAGAGTTGTCTCTTCAGATTCAGTGAGACAAAATAGAGTACTTTACTGTAGTGTTAGTAGTAGGAAATGGCATAATACTGTATAGTGTAGAAGCATATAATAATAGTATGTAATTGTGTCGTATTATTATTCTAAAAGTATGGTTTAGGAAAGTATGCCACTGCTGTAAAATAATAAAATAAAATAAAAATGCAAATTAAAAAACAATAAAATTTTAACATGCCATTAAAATTTTCTTTCAGTCACATTAATGTATAGTAAATATTATTATTGTATAGTATTAACAAGTATTATATAGTATTAGTTAAATAAATTATATGTTCCTCAGATCAAACACAGTACTGTTTTGTGAAAACACAAAAAAAATATTCCAGCACACTTGACAGTTGCTCCAGTCACAGCTCCATCCCAATTACAGCAGCGCTCCAGGCGCAGGAAGCCTGTGTGAGCCAGGGAATCTCTTTAGGAATTTCACTGCGATTGACAGACTGGAATTTTTTTCTGGCACACTGATGTTTGCATGCAATTTTTTTTTTTTAAGTCACGTGAATGATTGACAGCTGTCACATCCATTATGGATAGACTGTGTGTGTGCTTCTGAGATAGACCTGTAATAATATTCCAGACCCCTCTCTCTCACAGCGTTTGCTACAGAATCAGTGTCAGTCTCGGTCGGTTCTCCTTTCATATTTAAATAACAGGGAAAATAAACCCACACACCTGTTCATCTTTAAAACCTGGACGACGTTTTTATGTAAACTCTTTTGATAAAAACTGACAGTTGAGATTTATCTGTAAGGGATTTTTAAGATAAAACCTTCTCACTTTTCCAGGAATTTCTGGTGAAAAGGTGGAGATAGATCCTGTCACAAATCAGAAGACAAGCACAAAGTTCTGGATCCGACAGAAGCCAATCTCCATCGACTCGGATCTGCTGTGTGCCTGTGACCTTGTGGAGGAGAAGAGTCCAAGTCAGTTCTGCTCGTACTTTTGTGAAATATGCATGAAATCCTTATTTATTTATATACACTACCGTTCAAAGCTTTGAGATCAATATGTTTTTTTAATGTTTTTGAAAGAAGTCTGTTCTGTTCACCAAGGCTGTATTTATTTGATCAAAAATACAGTAAAAACACTAATATTGTGAAATATTATTACAAGTCAAAATAACTGTTTTCTTTTAAAATATATCTTAAAATTTAATTTATTCCTGTGCTGGCAAAGCTGAATTTCCTGCAGCCATTATGCCAGTCTTCATTTGTAGTGCTATTATAATTTTTGTTTAAATTTTGAGTTAGTTTTTATTTGTTTATTTGTTTTCATTTTCATTTTGGTTAAAGTTTTAAGGTTTTTTTGTGTGTATTTTTGTCTCTCTTTCTCTCAAAATGCGCAAATGGCTTCAAATCAAATCGCGTCTGCACTATAAGCGAGCTGCACACTGCACAGTTGACACAGGAATTGTCACTTGCACAATCGAGGCAGTGTCACATCGTCACTAAAGTTTATAAATTGCATTTCTTTTTAATTCTTGCCTTGGTGGGTTTTTGTTAAATGTGAGCCAAAATCATCACAATTTAAAGAACCAAAGACTTAAACTACTTCAGTCTGTGTGCATTGAATTTATTTAATACACGAGTTTCACAATTTGAGTTGAATTACTGAAATAAATGAACTTTTCCACAACATTCTAATTTATTGAGATGCACCTGTATGTGGTGTGTATTTTTTCCGCACTCATGTTAACGGATTAATAAAGCGTTCACACTGCACACTGTTGCGGTCCGGCAGTGCGTTCCAGGACCGGGTCATCTGCAGCAGAGCAGAGATCGTTTCCACACCGAGTCTATTGCTGCGCTGCAAGCGCTGAATTTAAGTAACAGTGCATTGTTTGCAGTAAATATGAACATGGATCGACACGAAAATTTAGTAATTACACCATAAATGCATATTATTAAAGTCTAAAGCATTGAATAATGTGTTTCTTATATTTATTGCGTTTAAACATGTCTATAAAAGATTGTATTAGCTACTGCACTGTGTAAAAAAAAGAATCACAATGCTAAAAAAGCATTTTCAGTAGCAATGTTTGGATTTGAAATCAAAATAATGGATAAGTGTTGTGTTTGTAGTAAACAGTCACGGATCAGTAGCAGACTCCTGTGTGAAAGCACAGTGAGCACATGCTGCTTCTGCATCGCTTACGTACCACACATGGACTGCATGCACACTGCAAACGGAGTGTGTGTGAACCTGGTCTAAAAGGCCATCTCACATACAGCTCACAAAATCAGGCTTGCGCTGTGTGTAAGCTATTGTGCAACAATTGCACGATTGTAAAAACAAAAATGCAGTGCATGATCAAACATTTAGGTGAGATAAATATATATTTTTGAAAAATATCTAAAAAATGCCCCCCTCCACCCTACATGATAAAAAGAAGACTTTAAAAAGATCGGTATCGGTGATCGTATCGGCAGATACTGCTATCGGTGATCGGCCTCAAAAATCCTGATCGGAGCACCCCTAGTTTTAGTATTAGTTAACTATAATAACCCTGCTTCAGTGTCACATGATCCTTCAGAAATCATTCTAATATGCTGATTTGCAGCTTAAAAAATTCTTGTTATGATTAGTGTTGAAAACAGTTTTTCAGGATACATCGATGAACATTGTTCAACAGAACAGCATTTATTTGAAATAGAAATACGTCCCTTTTAATCAATGTAATGCATCCTTTAAAAAAATATTTTTTGACCAGTGGTTTATGTTTTTTTTTTTTTATTATTATTAATAATGGAATAAAAATATTTTTCGACTTATTGTATACTTACAGTAAAGTAATAGGCACTGCCTCTCTAGCCTCCTCAGATAAAACGTCTCTGGTTTATGTAGAAACTCTTTTGATGTCCCACATCACTGGCGACTGACAGATATAGTGTAGCACTGCAAACTCACCAAGGGATTTATATTACATTACACTTACAGGGAACTCCGTTACTGAAAACAAAATCTATTTACGCAGCCTTTCTGTAAGGTTTGCATTGGTGTAAGTGATGCAGACATCTCTTCTTAACGGATATGACAGGGACACGAGCGCAGCTCTCCCAGACGCGTGCTGCTAACGGTGATTGATGAAGTGCAGACAGATTGCTGAAGTCTGCTCAGAGGCGCTGCGGCGCACACCGATGCTCCGACTACGCCTGGAAATGCTCCAGTCTCTCAGTCACTGAGCGTTTGTTTCTGGAGCAGGGCCATTTATTTTTATGTGTCCTGTGTGTTCAAATTCAAAGATGCCAGAGTTCATATTTGAGGTTAATTATGTTTGAAACAGTCATATTTTATTATCAAAGAATCCTAAAAAAGGTTCACGATTTCCATAAAAATATGAAGCAACACAACTGATTTCAACATTGATAATAATCAAAAATGTGTCTTAAGCAGCAAATCAGGATATTAGAATGATTTCTGAAGGATCATGTGACACTGAAGACTGGAGTAATGATGCTGAAAATTCAGCTTCGCATCACAGGAATAAATCACATTTTAAAATATTAAAATAGCAAACAGTTTTTTAAAATTGTAATATTTCACAATATTTCTGTTTTTATTGTATTTATGCTCAAATAAATGCAGCCTTGATTAGCATAAGAGACTTTTTTTCAAAACATTAAAACATGTTACTGACCCTAAACTTTTGAACAGTGTGTATATATAATCATATATATAATATATATATATATATCAAATATTTTTGATAGCCCTGGGTTATTTTATTGTCAGGGGTGTTTTAGGCTTTCTTGGTGCAAACATAAGATCTCTCATTCTTTATGTATTTATTTATTTATTTATTTTATTTATGCAATGATCAGTTTATCATTATTTAACTAAATTATTTAACTTCATTATCAAGATAAAAAATGTTTATGGTTATTACATTTAAAATTCACTTGGCACCTGCTATTCAGTGTAAATTGCCAGAAGCTTTTGATTAGACTGTATTTTTCTTGTTGGGCTGAATGACTGAAAACAGATTCCAAAATAATGGACAGTTTCTAAAAATATTTTGTCAAAACTCTGGTTAATAAAAATGATTACAATTGTAGCATAAGGATTTCTGTTAATAATAATACTTTTTTTTTTTTTTTACTTTTTTTAATGTAACAAATAGTATTAGCTCACATGCACATGTATGTTGAACCATGGTGGTAATTTTTTTTTTGCTGAATGTAACTTTAAGATCTTTATGGTTTCTTTGTAGGTCATGCAGTATTTAAGCTCACATATCTAAGCAATCACGATTACAAAGCCCTGTACTTCGAGAGTGATGCTGCTACTGTCAATGAGATTGTGCTCAAGGTAGGATTTATAGTTTTTTACTGCTTTTTTAGGTATAAATTCAAACACATTCACAGGAAGTGTGTCATTTCCTCTTCCTCTGCCAGGTGAACTACATTCTGGAGTCCCGTGCCAGCACATCGAGGGCGGATTACTTCGCCCAGAAACAACGCAAACTGAACCGTCGCACGAGCTTCAGTTTCCAGAAGGACAAAAAGTCGGGCCAGTAGAGCTGGCGGCCAAAGCGATCAGCAGACTCCGAACCGAATGGCCTGTGTGAACAGAGGTAGAGAGATAGACGGGAAACACGGATGGAGAAAATCAGCCTCTCATGGTCGGCCTTTCCTGGACTGACGGTCCTTAATCATATCAGAGCACTAATGCTCTCTGCTGTCACTCGAATGTACTTGCAAAACCAACCAACAATCTAATTGAACAATTATATTAACGTTTGAAGCCACAGCCATCGCCCAGACCAGACAAAACCATCGGCTGGACTCTGAATGCCAAGGACCGAGAACTTGCTGCTGTTTGCGTCAAAGACTTACTTCCACTGCCTACAAACCAACTGTACATAAACGCGCACCAAACGAACGCAGTCGGAACCTTACAAGCCAGAAAGAGCAAGCGAACCGTATTAGCTGTTCCCGTATGTATCAAAGACGTTAACTTAAACCGAATCGGACACTGACACGTAAAGGGATCGCAATTTTTTTTTTACGAAAATGTAAATAGCAAACGCATTCAGGGTCTGATGACAAACCCTCTTTGGCCATAGTACTTCAGTGCCTGCTAAAAATCAATAGGACGAATGCGTTCTTCGAGATTTTAAACGTCCGCTGGTTAAGTTGGGAAACTCTTTTTACCACCAGAGGAGGTTAATAGGTTATGGAATGACAGATTTTTAATGATCAAATATGAAATTAATAACTACTTTTTACTGTGATGTGTTTTTCCCCTCTGCATTGTATCTTTGGATTGTATATATATATATATATATATATATATAATAACGAACCAATCGCCGTCTATCTCTTATCAACGGTTTTGGTTTATTCTGACTGTCCTCTCGGGCTGCAATGGGAATGTATGACCGTCTTTGCCACATTTCTTTCTAGATGTTAAAGATAACATTATTACGCTAGGTTCATTTCATCCGTGTCCGTTGGCTCGTTCTGCCGTCTCAACCTGAAACTTTCGCTTTATAACTCAACTTCAAACGCTGCTGTTGTTAAACTGGATTCAGGGTGTTCGTTCTATCCAAAACTGTTCTGACTCAGGTTTCCGACTGCCATGTTTTCTTGACTGATCTTGTTTTGTTTTGTTTCGTTTCGTTTTTTTACGTCTGTCAAAGCCGGAGAGCGATGACTGATACTCAGTTCAGCGCTGACGAATGGACAAAGAGAGCGCGTGTTTTCCCGTGACGGGGATAACGGCTTAATAGACATTTCAAATAAAACTTTATTTATAATATTCCGGGTGGGGGGGGGTGTTATCATGTGGCCTATGGAATCAATATTTGCTACAGTACATGTATACTGTATATACGTAGATTTTTTAATTAAAGATTGAACTACGATACATTTGTCCTGGTGTCATTTTGTTGGGTTTTCATCATTTTGTCTTAAGGTAGGTATAAGGTAGGCAGCATAATTGTGTTTAATTTTAAGATGGCTTCTTTTGGACAAATTCTAATGCAGCATTGCATGCATCTTTCACAGATAAGGCAATCCCAGAATGCATTGCGACGTGAAGCTCATTCAAGCCGGCAGATGAGTAATCAGTTATTTCATTCAATAAATGTGAATTATTGATTAAAAATAGCTCGGTTTAATTTAGAATTTACTATTGGAGTCAGTTGATTTTCACATGTGGTTTGCTTGAGAAGCACTTTTGAGTGTATATGTAGAGCACTCTAAATCAAATGCATATGTTTTTATCACAGCTAGAAAATAAAAGGTTGCTGCCTTTGTAGACAGAAAGGCAGGTCACTGTACTGTTAAAATTATGTAAATAAGATCAAATTTTATCAAAGGCACCTTATATTTGCCATATTTTTTTTTTTTTGGAGCACTTGAGCATGGTTTGGTGTGTTAATTAATCAACATTAATTAAAACTATTAAAAATCTTTTCAGTAATTGGAATAAAACAAGTTTTTAATCTAAAATCTATATTTTACTTCAAAATGTTTAAAAATGTTCCAATTCAAAATGTTGCCTTGGCAACTAATTGAAATAAAATCATTCCAAGTACTAAAATTGCTGAAACTGAAATGAAAAATAAATATAAAAAGATATATTAAAAATAATGATTAAAAATGACAAGCACATAAAATTACTAAAACATACTGAAATTGAAATGAACTGAAATTATAACTGAAAATATAAAAAATTGAAGGGATAGTTCACCCAAAAATTAAAATTCTGATGTTAATTACTCACCCTCATGTTGTTTCAAACCCGTAAAATCTTCGGAACACAAATTAAGATATTCTTGATGAAATCCGACAGCTTTCTGATCCTCCATAGACAGAAATGCAACTGACACATTCAAGGCCCGGAAAGGTAGTAACAAGGTTTACAAGTTACAAGGATACTTGTGATCTTACAAGGGTAAATAAAGAACTGGGGCTGGTTGCAGGCTGGTCATAACTTTTTATATTCCGTTATGAAAAGGTAGACTGGTCTTATTTGTATTGGAAAAGTAAGACTGATAACCACTTGGCAACTGCTAGTAAGTTTTGAATAGTATTTTCTTTACTCTTTACTAAACTGTCTAAAAAGGGTAATATTTTATGTATTTGAGGTCTGAGATGTGGGAACAGTGAAGAGAGAGAGGGCAAACATTTTGCATTTTAGGTCAGCATTGTCTATTGTTTAGATCAGCCAATCTTGTCTTAAATAGCCTGCATTGCACTTCATCTTTTATAACATGGGATTTTGACCAAATATATTCAATCTTGATTTTTGTAAAATGTTGCAACAAGGTGTGTGTGTGTGTGTACTGGTTTATATATCTTGGTGGGGACTTAAACCTGAATACACACAGACTCATGGGGACTCGTGTCACGGTGGGGACCTAAATTGTGGTCCCCACGGGTACAAAAGCTTATAAATCATACAGAATTAAGTTTTTTTGAAAATCTAAAAATGCAGAAAGTTTCCTGTGAGGGGTAGGTTTAGGGGTAGGGTTGGTGTAGGGCAATAGAATATACGGTCTGTACAGTATAAAAACCATTACGCCTATGGAGAGTCCCCACAAGGATAGCAAACCAGACGTGTGTGTGTGTGTGTGTGTGCAATTACAGTTTTCGACATATAAAAAATAAAAAATATTTTTAAAAATACCTTAAATTAACTACAAATGAGCATGTAAAAATATATTTTAAAAAAATTCTATGTGGAGCATGCCCCTGGTTCTCACCTTTTTTCCCCCTTACCTGTTTGCATCTCTGTAACTATAAGACCACCAAACTGTATTCATAAAGTAAATATGATCTGTTGATTTCATGCTGACTTTAACACCAGGCCTTTAATTCAAATCTCTACATGAAAAATAATGTGTGTTGTCAAATGCAGTGAGGTGTCCCCTTCTTTCTTACAGTCGCTGAATGAGTTTGGTCTCTGTATAATGCAGAGAAATCTCTTTGTTGCAACATTAATACAAAGTCAAGAACGTTTGTTAGCCTCCGGCTAATGCGGGTTTCTCCTCTGTCACATTTTGTTTGCTTTGCTCCACCAACCCTACAGGCCTCAAGAGAGCCAGACACCCAACTGAACGAGGAGTAATCGGCCCTCGCTGCTTCATCTCATGTTTATATACCGGGAGAAAATTTCATAGAGAATTTTATAGAGAAATCAGTATTGGTATCATTGATACTGGCCTTCGGTCATAAAAAAAGATGCCATTAAATAAACTTTTTGTTGTAATTGAAATTATATTTGTATATTTATTTATTTATTTATTTAAATAAAAGTAAATTACATACTATATATTTATAGATGAAAATTAGGCTATATATTAGAATTATAAAATGTTTGGGTAGGCCTATAAAAAGCATGTTGATGCCAGATGTCCAAACAGCCTGTGTCTTGTTTTTGATTACCTTGGTGTTACGTTTAACTACATTTTAGTCCTTTTGTGTTATTGTTAATTTTGTAATGACATCAAATCCTAGCTTTTTTTTAATTATCTATGTGGTACTTGTGTGTTTTGTTTGCAAATGTTAGTTCAGTTTGATATGAATGCTGCAAGAGATTAAACATTTTCATTTTTTCAGTTGCTTTTGTCTGGATTTCTTGACTGAATTTCTAATATCTGCTTTTTTGATTAATGCACTTATCTTTCCCTCAGTGTTTCCATTTTCAACAGGCTTCGTGAATTTTGTCAGAATATGAAAACCTTCAGCGTTTTTGCCGCAAGATCAGATGCATGAATGCTGTCTAGGAAACCACTGATTGTATTTCACTTTGCAGTGTAACGAAAAAGATCAACAACCAATCGACTTGATTTCAAAAGGATGCAAGCAGCAGCACTTCAACAACAGGTAACGTCTCGCCTGTGGGGTTAAACGCTGGGAATCAAGAGCCCAGCTGGCAGAGGACACGTCCTTACAGACGCCTCTGTCTTGAGGTTCCTCTGCAGCTGTGGCCCCTGAGAGGTCTTTTTCTGCCCTCCACGAGAACCGGAGATAGACACTGGTTAAAAATATCCTGAGACCTCGCCACAACCGAGACGATAAACTTAATTCAGAGTGACAGTCATGGAGCCGGAGATGGATTTTCTCAGTTCTTGTTGCAGGAGAAAGAGGCTTGTTTTTGCTCGGCTCTGTCACGATGCTTGTTTTGGCTCTGCAGCACTGCAGTGTCTCGGAGCATCCTCACTGGACTCTTTCCAGACGGTGTCAGTTTGGCTTTTGAACAGTACATTTTGTTTTCTGCCGAGTGCAATTGTTTTGATGGTAGTCTGCCTTTCAATCCACTAGCTTTGAATGTTGATGCACTCAGTGTTAGTTTCATTGTTTTCAGAGCTGCCTGGGAATTTTTGAAGGTTCAAATGTGGTTTTGTTTTCCAAGAAATACAGGCCTTGGTTACAGAAGATTTTACCATTCACTTTTTTCCATAGAGATTTAAAAAAAGAAAAGAAAAAAAAAAAAGAATTATGCAGACGTTCAGGAAGAAAAGTGTGTGTGTGTGTGTTAGGGCTGTCAAACTGTCAAATCGATTAATGGCATTCAAAATCAAAGTTTGTGTTTACATAATATATGTGTGTGTACTGTATAAATACTTATATTTAAGAAATATGTGTGTGTCTGTGTGCAAAATGTTCCAGGATCAACATTCTTGTTGATCCTGGAACAACATTCCAAGCAACCAATCAGAAATGAGGGATAAGTTTAAGGAAATGTCAGTGTTAGCCTTACAACCAGATTAGGTGCTTCTATACTCTTGTTATTCATTTCCCTCCGATTTTATGGATAGATTATGGGTAGGGTTAGGTTTAGGGGTAGGGATAGGGTTAGGGCTGTTTTGGACAATAATGTTGATCCAGAAACATGTCATGTGTAGCCTATGTGTGTGTATTCATATATACACAGTACACACACATAATGTAAACGCAAAATTTAATTATTTTGTGATTTTCAGTGATTTTATCTTTTATTAAAATTAAAAATCACAAGTTTATTTTTTTTTATCTTTGTGTATTTTAATACAGCACCAGGCCCATTCAGCAAAACATGAAGCAATATAGACCAAGAGCCACATTCATAACGCCGCGTGTTTGTTTGATTTATATCAAGCTGCCTGGAGCAGTAAAATGCATTTTCTCGTATTCATTTTTCTTCATGTATATCCTCCGTCTGTGTTTTCCAGCAGCTGCAGCAGATCTTCAGACGGAAGCTGACTGCCGTCTAGAGGCAACAAATGCAAACTGAGCAGGTCTTTTATATTTACTTCTGCAAACACGCACGCTTCTGAACGCACTGACATCTTATAGGTGTCGTGCAGTAATGCACTTAATGTAAGTGCATTAACTGCCGAATTCCAGAATGTTAAAATTTGCATGAATATAATGACTTAAACCACCTCAGATATTCCTTGTTCAACAGTATTTCGGTCTACTCTCTGCTTAAATCAAATGTCACTAAAACAGTGAGTTCTAAAAGAGATAAAGCACTTTTTGTTCATCCATCACTTTAGAAATGGAAAGACAAATCGCGCCCATTCCATTGTGAGATGCAGTACTCCACGCATGCGCGCTCTGTTGTGTATTAAATGTAAAGTCAAGTCATGGGTATTGCATGCATAAGATTAATACATGCTGCAGCAATATTAAAATTAGTATAGTATTCCAAACGTAGACCTTATCATTTAGTGAACCATACAAACCCTGATTAAATGTCAATGCAAACAAATAAGGATTTTAGCTTGCGCTTTGCTGCCCCCTGGAGGTCAAACATTGAGATAATAACACGTGACGTCATCGTTCCAATTGTTGACCGTGTTGTTTCTTACTAAAAACAAAAGGGGAAAAAAAGTATTGTTGTATTAGTATCCTACTAAAGA